CTGATAAGTTATCAAAACTGAAGTATCACATGAATTGGTAGCTTGTTATCACTTCCTTGTTGTGACCTCGTTGTTTGAAAACATATTTTTTTATTGATCAAATATAGACTAGTAGCAAAAGCTTTATCGGCTACGATAAATTCAAGTTTGAAATTTGGAGGAAGGAAACAATTAACATTTTAAATTTTTTCTTAGATTTAGCATGGAATACGAATACATGAATATTTATCCACATTTTCAGTAAAGGCTTTGGAACCAATGCTATGTACAGCAAAACAAATATCAATGATGAAGATTGAATACGTTTTGCCGATCCCGATTAGAATACAATCCAGTCATTATTTGCATATGCTGAAACGCTTTTTTTTCTCCCTCTTACTCTGAGTAAATATTCTGTAATGAATTATCTTTAAGAATTACATTCTTTGGATTAATGTGTGTTATTTATTGCTTTCCCTGAATTTTCATGTTAATTTTTGCCCTAACTATGCCTGTTGATTGTAGCTTGCGAAACAGCGAAAGTATTACATTATAGGGTTCCAACCTAGAATTTATAGCTATGTGTGTGGTACCTTGAGAACTAGTAAGCGAATAATCGCTTTAGCTCAGGAACGTAAACTCAAGAAGGATTAATTACCCTTTATTGCTCAAAATAAGGATTAACAGATGGCCCTTTTCTCAGGACGTTCAGAAAGCCTCCACTTGGGCTTGAACTCAAAAGTGCTAAGATTCAATCAAACTTAAACAATGCTTAACTAAAATGATATAGCCGAAGCTATCAAAATTCTACAGGAGTTGGCGCCTAAATGCTAACTAAACGGCGAAGCTATCAACGGTTTGAAATACAGCCGAGCGTAGCCAAAAAGCAAACGCTCGCTAGTCAGAATCTCTGTGGAACTTCGACTTGAGTACTGCTCTTCCTTCATTTGCATTTATCGTGATTCTAAAAGCACACTCTGGCAGGAAATTTGTAAGCTGAAATTAGAAGGGACAGGAAAGTAGCTTTAACTAAAGATAACTGTTAAAAACGTAGGATAAACCTTACAACATTGATAGCTTAAAAAGCCATTTTAAAGAAAAGAATATCAGGAATGTAATATTTGATATCATTGGTTTAATTATTGTTTTAACATATAGCTTGTTATACTCTAAAACATATAAGAGGCTATTGTTTCTATATATGATGGAACTAACAATTTAGTACAGTTGTCTTCAAACTGTATTTCAATTCCAGGATTCCAGAAATCAAACCCACAGATTCGCGAGTCAAATTAAAAATTCGATATACGATACATTTCAAACAGATTGAAGTTCCATGCTTTGCAAAGCTAAACAGTTTTCTAATGGAAAATGAATTGCATTTATACAACAGTATTAAAAATTATACAATGGATCACCTATTTCATTTATAGAAAACTACAAAAGAATATTTTCCAGAAAAGAAGAGAAAACTAAGTAATACGACTGATAAAACTTTGTTTGTTCAAGTACTTCGTTCGTACGTTAAATCAAAAGGCTTGCCAATGAAGGAAACGGGGAATGATTTAGCGACATAATGAACAGATTTGAAGTTCAAATCGAAATTTAAGTAAGACAAGCTCCTAAATTTTTGGTTCAAGATTTATGCAGAAGACCCAAATATTTCTCACACAGCTAAAAACATTTTCATGTCATTGGGGGAACTTATTTAAGGTAAAAAATCTGTCTCAATGTATTGCCTGTCTCAACAGAAATAAAGTATAGAATTAAGTACAGAAACAATGATTGGGATGATTAGTTAAATCATTAATATAAAACATTCATTATCCAGAATGAATTGTTTAAGCTTTATTATTCAAAATATGCTGGAAAAATAAAGTTTTAAGGTGCTCACTGAGTATTAAAATTCGTTTCTTGAATGCATGGTTAAATTGTTCCTAGAAAACTCTAAATATAGGAAGTGATAAAAAGCATGAATGTTTCCGTCAAAGAAAAAAAGGTCAGCGGAAGACTAATATTTGACAGGACTTTGCTCTTGCATGGAGCGTCGTGAAATCCGGATGTAGACTACAAATGTTTTTCTATTAAAATTTGGAGATCGGCTTATATACGAGTTCAAAATAATTTGTAAATAACTTCCTCACAAAAATGATATTAAGGTTAATTAATTTTAAAAATATTATTCTTATTTCATTTGACCCTAACACTCAATAATCACATTTCTTAATACAGTTTCCTCTCCTCTATTATCCCTGAAGGTATACGAATAATACGCCGAATAATACCCTGAATAACACGCCTAACAAATACTAATTCAGAAGTCAAACATCAAAAATCAGCGTTATATTTCAAATTTTCACAGGACTAGTTTCGATGGTTTTACCGAACCACGATCCTCAGATGCAAAAGCGCAATTGCGCTTGAATTAAAACTTAAGATGCTATTAAATGTAAAGAATCTTATTTTACATATTCTTTATTTTACATACATCTATATATATAAAGAAGAAGGTCTGTTTATTTGTCCTCTAATAACTCAGTCACTACTATAGCTATCGTCGTCAAACTTTCTACGATTCTTTTCTAGGGCCTGAAAAAAGGTCGACGTCCACTTAAAAAAAAAAAAAAAAAAAAAAAAAATATTAGATGTATTAATTAAAAACTCGGGAAAACGATAAGTTTTTCCCTCATTTTTCCGAGTGGCAACAGTTTCTCAAGCTGGAGATGAAAATCTGCTTTATTTCGAAAGTTGTTGCCACTGCTCGCTTTCAAATCCTAATGTTTGTTAATAAAAAATTTCTAAGTTTTAGATGATATAAAAATAGCATTCCCAAACATTAAATATATTATACCCGATTCCGAAAATTCGTGGGAAGCCATTTCGACTGCGTACGACTTTATTCAGCCAAGATATTAATTAAAAACTCCGAAAACATTAATTTCCGCACTCATTTTTCCGAATGGCAACAGTCTCGCACGTTTGAGATAAAAATGTTGCTACTACTATAAAAAAACTACTACTATTATAGCTTTCACATCCTTAGACTTTGCTAATTAAAAATTTGTTAAGTTCAAAATCTATAGATATATATATATACATACATTGAACTGCGGTGCTTAACCACCAGGGTGCCTGGGCGCATAGCCCTACCCCTCATCGAATAACATGATAAAAGTTTCGAATTATAAGAAATATAACTGAATGTGCTAAATAATTAAATAAATACATATTTTTTCCCTAAGTACCTAATTACTAATCCATACATAATTAACTATTTTTTAACAACTATTTCACAGAAGAATACATGTACACACAAGAGAAACAAAATACGAAGTGCGACGCCTTAGTGCCACTAGTAAAAATAAAATGCAATCAGTAGGAAAAAAGAACAATATACAATAAAAGAATCCGAGCAACAATTTGCATAAGACATATACAAAATTACATATTACTAACATTTAGGATCGCCCTTGGGCGTTTACTGAAATTGGGGTCCCTAGTATCATAACAATAGTTAACAACCACAGGATTGTCCAGAAGTTCCTGTTTATTATAAAATGCCCTAGATAGGCGGCAATAAAAATCACAAAGATCCTCTATTCTTAACTCTTTACGAATTTGGCTATTCCGAATGTACCAGGGGGCATTACATATCATACGCAATACCCCGTTTTGGGCAGCTTGTATAGATATATATAAGGACGAATGTCTGTTTATGTGTTTGTTAGCGTTATTCATTTCTGATGAATTATGATAAATTTTTTGCCTCATTTAATCGACTAAAATTGAACATAAGTGAAATATTAGATGGAACTTGAATTTTTACCACAATTTGATTAGAAAGACGAAATTAAAAATTGCATGCCATTGTTACTTATATAATGAAAGAGAAATAGTTTATTTTTCTATCGAATTTTTTTATGTGGGTTTTATATCGCATCAAACTGAAAAATGTATGACTATGAAACGTATTTTTTGCATCGTGATTACAGATGGATTACAGCTGTATCGTTCTCTTTGTTGTTAGATGCATTACTCTCAATCTAACTTTAACTGCCATTGGATACTTCTGCTAGCAAATAATAAAAATAAAAAAATAAATAAAATAAATAAATAAATAAAATTTAAATCTGAAATGTTTCAGATTTTAAACTACGTCCAAAGAGGCGTTTTTTTAACGTTTTGTGTGTTATCTTTATTTATTAAATATCATGTTCTTTGCACTTAAACCATAAAATTTAGTTCAATAGCAATGTCGCAAAATAATTTTAAAATGAGCCTATCTTTAGAATTTCCGATACACAGTTCGACGCGCTAGAAATAAAAAGGTTCCCGCCCCCGTAAAATGTTACCATTGATCGCTTTTAAATCGTTGAGTTTGTTACTCAAAAATTCGTTGAAGTTTTACAAAATATAAAATGGATAATAAAACAAATTCCAAATTTGGGATTTCAGATGCCTATATTCGCAGTAGGATTACGTCATTCAAAATTGAATGGCTCTAGATACCGTTATTTTATCACAATACGAGAAATATACATACATTTATGCAGATTTTTCATTATATAATTTCTTCAAGTATTATGCAGGACTCTAACATTTTGTGGCAACAGTTTGAAAAGTGAACCGACATTTATAGGAGTCCGACGCAAAATGCCAAAACAAAAGTAATAGGCCTTCGAGACTCAAATCCCTTTGAACTAAAAACATACGCATACTCAAATAAAAATAACAATAATAAATCAAATTTAAAAACAAAACAAAAAACAAAACAAATTTTTCAATCAAAAGATAGATTTCGAAATTCTTAGTTTCAAGATGTCGCGCTTTCGTATTATTTATTTGTTGAAAGCCTCTTTGGTAAAACTCTTCGGTGTAAAACGTTGACGAATTTTATTTTTATTGAGAATGAATTCAAAGTACTACAGCTACAGTAACCGAAGAAAAACTCTAGCAATTGGTAATTGTGATGCAATCAGCTCATTGAGTCTTACAATTTTTCTTTCGATTTTCTTCTGCAGTCGAAACGAAGCCTGCGTTGGAAAGGAAACGACGAAAATCGGACTTGGTTATAATGTGGCTATCCTTTTGGGATGTGACAGTGAACATCTTCCAAGAAATATATTTTACTTTCCTGCGATTATGGGAGATAACAAGTAAGTAAATTGTCCTTATTTCATATATAATGAAAAATAGTACTTGTTCTGTGCACTTTCGGGCTTTACGAACGGTATCTCAAACACGTATGATGAAAGAATTGAATTTGCTTCTAAACTGATAATACGCAGTTATGTCTATTAGACTCTAATACACTTAAAGTTTATCAAAAATGTTTTGGGTAAAATAATGAAATAGGAAATACATATGGAAAAGTGTCCGAAAATTTTGATGAAACCTTTTGTTTTTCAGTGTCTTATTTATTTCAGTACGTGATTTTTCGCTAAAGTTGCTTTTTAAGAAAAACTGAGTGGTTGAACATATAATTATTCAAAGCTTTAGAAAATAAAATATAGGAGTGAAACAGAGGGTATTTTTTGTTTCCACTTCAGGTAATCAGTTATGATGAATTATGTAACTTAATAATAAAAAAAATTAAGAACCATGTAATAGTTGTTTTTGGTGCAGCGATATTAAAATAACATAAATACATAGAAAAATTAATTTTTAATGAATTAATTATTTGAATAATTAATTTTATAAAATTTTATTTTTCATTAAAAGGGAAGTTTTTAGGATTCGTAGCAGGATAAAAATGTAGATTCTCTTTGTGTTTTCCAAGAAGGCTTATCGAAAATTGAACTTACATTAGATAAACTTAAATAGATTAACTTCTTTACCCTATGTCATAATTTTCTGAATTAATATTTAAGAAAAGCATATTATTATACTTTGTGAATGACAAAATTAGTTGAAAACCGGCTGAATGTATAAATTACAGAAAAATTTATTAGCAAAATATCACCGAAAAGTCTACGGATAATGATTTTCGCTGAGATATTTTTGACAGAATATTGACCAACGATATGATTACGAAGGTTGCTATTTATATTTCTGGCCTTGGCAGCAGTAAGCTTTGGTAGGCGACCGCAGACGATTCCAATCGAAAGTCTGAAATTTTTAACCATACCTTCTTCAGAACGTTTAGCCATTTTAGCGTGATTTGTGTTGTTTACAATAAATTGAAAAATTAATCTCAGACAAAAAATAGATTTGACTCGTGAACATTTTCGCGCGGTTATTTTTCGTAACTTTCGAAGTAGATTATCAAGACAAAAGTGCTTCGGTGACCTTCATTCTTTATAAAAAAAAAAAAGCGATAAAGCACCTTTCTACAGCATTGTAAAAAACTGGTATACCGAATTCAATCATGGTCGACGTTCGCTTCTCGAATTCCGTGAAGGTCCTCCAAAATCGGTTGTTGTGCCAGAAAATATCGTTGCTGTGCGTGAACTGATGAAGTAAGATCACCATGTGACACACCGCCAGATTGAGGCATCTTTGGACATTAGTATGATAAGCATCAATAAGATATTACATGAATATTTGTCCGTAAAAAATATTTGTTTGCGTTGGATTCCGCATAATCTGACAAACGCTCAAAAGAATCCTCGTGTCGATTGGCGCAAGGAAATATTGGAAAAAAACGTTCATGGTGCATCAAAGGCTGTGTATAACATCTAAATATGTGACGAATCATCGATCTATGCACATAAGTCCTAAACAAAACAACTGTCGGCTATATGAGTCTTCCAAGACAAGCCCAATCCAACAAAAGTTGTTTGCGGAAGAAGCCCATCGAAGCAAATGGTTGCCAGAAAAAGAACCGAATCATTTCTTCATCATGACAATGCAAGCTCTCACACATCGTCTCAAACAAAAGAATTTTTGACGGTTCAAAACATAGAACTGGTGGGTCATCCACCGTTCATCCCTGATTTGGCACCCAATGACTCTTTTTATTATTATTATTCCTGCACGTCAAAAATAAATTACGTGGTCAACGATTCGCTACACTCGAAGAAGCGATTGATGCATATTCAAAACGCATGTTTTGGAGTTACCTCAATCGGTGTGAAAAAGGTGCTTCGAAAATTGGTTCAAACACATTCAAAAATATATTTATTCTTCCTGGAGAATATTTTTAAAAATAAATAAAACTTATTTCGATCATTAACATTTATTTTTTCATTATTCGGCAAGAAATATAAATAGCAACCGTAGTAGATATATAAAGATGTGTGAAATAAACATTATTCGTTGACATTGTATAATCTAAATAATGCATCCATCATTCAACTTCTTTTTTTTCATTACATTAATTCCACTTATTGATGGAGTAGCTTTATACGTTCTTCCACAATACACCAAAAGTGAACATGTGGTCAACCACCCAGCAAAAATAAATTGCATTTTTGCAAGGAAAAAAAAGTATTAGAATAATACATTTATAGTTGTTTTTGTTTCATTCTTTTTAATGTATTTTATGATGATATAATTGCTGAAATCAACGCAAAACTGCTAAATTATTAATATACTAAGAAAAGAGTCAGGATTATAAAACTTGCGTTTTTAATTGATTATTTTTTCCTGTTTGCATGTAGATATTATAGTTATTTTACATGTAATTTCGTATATTATAGATATTTCATTTATTTAACAGGAAAATTACATTTATTCTTTCATAAAAAAAACTGATAATATTTATTTTTAGTAGATTTCACTTTTTAAATGTTTAATCTGCAGAAAAGAAGTTAGATTAGTGCTTAACGTCTGGGATCAACTAATGGAATTGAATGCTTTATCAAAATTACCTATTAATTTGAAGACGTCGTTAAAAACACAATATAGGTGGACAAATACAGATGTTGTTCGCACACTTTTTAGACGATTTTCATTTACTTACAGAAATATTTTATTTCAAATTTTTCTATTTTAAATGTTTTGCTTGATAATCCTTCACTATCTTTATTCACCGTAATTTCCAAGGCAATAAAGCCTTTTGTAGCATCGGAAAAAGCATTCTATCCCATTCCTCTTGAACAGCTTTCCAAAATCTAAGAAAGTTTAAGTTGAAATTTGGACAACCCGCTTTTTAAAAGTCCAAATGCGCAAAAATACATTGGTGATAGATCAGGAGATTTCTAAGGGATGTGATTGACGGGTATGGTTTTCATACCCGTTTCTTTTTCTAATTGTTTTAGGAAATTAACAGTAGATTTTTGACGTGTCTTTGCTTTCTTTATCTTGATGCAATTCTACTGATTAATCACACTGTTGTAAAGAGAAGGTATTTCATATTTGAAAATTGGGTATAAAATATGTTTCTGATAATACGTGCAGTTGATCTTGACATTTTTCCACACTCTTTTTATTTTAATTTGGCGTTATATGAAAAACCAACAACAATCATAAATCCCAAAGAAAAACTTTCGTTAGATTCCTTGAACCATATTTTAAGATTTTTTTCTCCTTTTGATAAGTCAATCTCTTTTTATTGAAGTCATTTAAATACACTCAAAATTCGTCTATGTGTATGTGACAACAATTTTCCATTTTGTCCGGATAAATGTTTCTCATAAAGAATTCTGCAGCGAGGCGATATGTCGTAGACAACGATGCACGTTTTGTTTTTTCGCCCTTTTAAGATTCAAATCAACATTAATGGCTTTGTTTACAATTGATACTGAGCATTTTAAGGATTTTGCAACTATCCTTTGAATTGGCGGATTTTCTTTTAATATTAAAGACCTTACTTTTGCAACATTTGAAACATTCCGTTTTTACCTTGGATACATATTTGGAACAATTTTTCCACTTGAAGCTAAATTTTGACGCCTTTTTTTTCCTTTGTTGTTGATAACATTATCTATTGTAGTTTTAGATATCGAAAACCATGGCTTTCACAACGTTTTTAATAACTAGAGATGAATAATTTTCTTCGGAAAGAATTCAAACATGGCCTTGCATCGATTGCTTCTAAAAGAGACATTTTTCGTGAAAACAAAACTGTCAAGGTGCAGACGATAATTTATACTTATGAAAAATATAACTGCAGTTAAAAAAAAGTTCCAAGCAGAAGATTTTTTTACAACAAAGCAAAATTGTCTAAAAAAGTGTGTGAACAGCCTCTTTATTTCATCTTATAGTGTTTTAATGTCTTCTGAAATTTCATTCTCATCTGAAGGCATTTGAAAAGAACTTCCATTCTCGTAACAGAATGCATATTTTCTATTTCTAAAAAATTGAAAGATGTTTGCTGAAGCTATATTTTCAATTAGTGTTATTTATAACAAGTTAAATTTCATAAATTATTTCACAATATTATTTTTCCTTTTATTTCTTATAAATGAAATTAAAAACCGAAGCGATTTTAACCAAATGTAGTATCTAAATTTAGATTTACTACTTAGGTTATTTTATTTATTGTTGCTACTCGGAAAGAACAAAATATTAGATGTGATGGTAAATGTGCTAAAACCATAAAAATTTATAAAAAGTATGAAATATTATACGAAAGTAATACTATCCAAGCTCATCTTACAGATGGATGATAATTAAATTAAAAATAATTTTCAAGTTGCATTAATTAATTTCGCCCCATAATTTTCATTGTCGAAAATGTTAAATATGAAGTTGAATACGAAAGCAAAAATGATACAGATTTTCGTTGATACTGGAATAGATAAATCTCACAAACAAATCTAAAATTGTGGCATTGAACTATCCAAAAATTCTAATTTTGATGGGAAAAAAATAAAATAAAGTTATTATTATAATATGTTAATGGAATTCTGTTTGTCATGATAATGGAATCATTCTGTTCCTCTGGTTTACATGGTAATGCAATCATTCTTTCCCTCTGGTTTACATGGTAATGCAATCATTCTGCTATGGCAAAAATAAATTACTAAGCGTATATGGTAATGGAATCAATCTGTATTAGCAAATAGAAAAAAAATGAAATAATTGCTAAGCATACATGGTAATGGAATCATTCTTCTTATCATGTTTTACATAGTAATGGAATCATTCTGTATTGGTAAATGAAAAACATAAAATAATTACTAAGCATACATGGTAATGGAATTATTCTGTATTGGTAAATGGAAAAAACAAAATAATAACTAAGTATGCATGGTAATGGAATCATTATGTA